TAAGTCGCCTTGGAGAGGCAACAAAAAAATAAGGGTGCTCCAGTGATTCTGGAATGGCGGCGACCGTTCCTTTTGACTTGGGGAAAGCCTTCTAACCCAATGGAGAAAGGCTGGCCATATTGCATTGACCAGCCCAAGCTACTTGCAACTGAAGTTCAAAAGCACTAACCAGCACAGCTGTGAACAGTGTGCTTGAAATTGGGTGAGGAATTTGATCTTCTCTTTTCTATTTTACATCTAATTTCCTGGAAAAGATTCCCAAGAAGCAAAATACCTCCGAAAGGGAAGGAGGGGGATTTTCGCCCCACCCTTATACTAACGGAAGCAGCGAATTAATCATTTTATGAAGGATCAAAATAAATGGAAGTGAAATAAATATAAAACCTGAAACTTGAAACTTAAATCTGGATAAATCTAAAATTGTTTTAATGGTTAAGACTCTCATTTCAGAGATAATTGTTCACTTTGGAAATTGAAAAACAAATAGTTGCTGACACCTAGTGGCAGATGAAGACTATGACAGCTATGACTTTAATATTAAGACTTGGCAAAATCTGGGAAAAGCTAATCTATGTCTGTGATCTTCAAAGCTTTAACAACAAAGAACAACTGTGACAAAAAAAAGACAATAATCTGGGCTGTAGACAAAGAGAGAATTATAAATTTCAGGGAAAAAATCTTTTTTGAACTATTTGGATTACAAATATCTAGCTAATTGGGACTCTAAAGCTATTTACAGAGAAAAGAAAGGAAGAGGAAAACTCAAATTCTTGGCTATCATCGATCAGAGACATGTAGAAAGAACATACCAAGAAAACATAAATACATCACAGGAGAAGATATATAGTATTCTGCAACTAATTCAAACAACAATGACTTTAAACCACAAAGTAATCCAAAACAACTTTGAAAATATAAATCAATCTATTTCCAAGTTAACTCTACAACAAAAAAATTCCCAGAAAAGAACAGTAGAGAAGGAGCAGATAAAACAGATAAATGGATATAGAATTGAGGATAGAGACTTAAGATGGAGCTTAACAAAACAAGGAAACATGATTTAATCCTAGTGGAAAAAAATTCACAAGAATTGGAAAAAACAACTTATTCCTTAAGACTACAAAATAAATCTGAGGACAAGAAAACAGATCAGATAAAATGGACTGTAGAGATGTCAAGAACATTGGAGAGAAAGGAAATGATAAGAGAAGCGGAGAGAAAGAAAAAGAAAAAGATTTTCAACAAACATGGAAAGGCAGAAGTCCCGTACAAAGACACTTCTCTTGATTTACTTTTATATCTACAGCAACATTTATGAATATATACGGAAAAACTTTTTATTCAGCAAAATACATTGATTAAGAAAGACATTGGGCAAAAGAAAAAGACTAAAGTGGAAACTAAGAAAATAGATGATGGGACTTACCAGAGAGAATATTTAAAAAAGAAACATTTGTTTGAATATGGTTAAAGAAATAGAAAAGTTTTGGAATATATATGTCGCTCTAAGAGGGACAAATTCTCTAAATATAATATAGTATGCTTTTTTCTCTTTTTTTGTTCTCTTTCTTGATATGAGTAATATAAAAAAGTTGAAATGACTTAGATAAAGGAAATGTTTTAGATACTTAAATGTGATTGAATTTAAGAAAATTATAATGGATAAAAAAATAAGAGTTAAAGGACTAGATGACTAGATGTATTAAATGGAATTTTTAAAGATTAAACATATTTTTAATTATGGTTAAAAAGAATAAGAAATTTAGGAAATAAATACATATTAGTTTAGGAGGAATATATTTTAAGTAGTATGTTATTTTTTATGCTTCTTTACTCTTGCTTTTCTTTCTTTTTTTCTACTGTTTTATCTATTTCTTAAGAAATGTAAAAGTATGAGATAGTTCATATGGAAAAATAGAGTTAAATTCTTAAATGTAATTAATTTTTTAGAAAATCTTAATCAGTAAAAATATCTAGAATTTGGTGGGAGAAACAAATTAAAATAAGGGCTGTAACAGGATCTATGACAGGGATGTCAAACTCAATTTCGCTGAGGGCCGCATCAGCATTGCGTTTGCCCTCGGGGGGGCAGGTGGGTGTGGCCACGGTGGGTGTGGCCTACTGGGTGGGCGTGGATAGAGTGGGTGTGGCCAGCTCTACATTGTTTGCGTCAAGGGGGCCTGTGGGGGCCTGGGCAGGAGTGGGACAGATCTGAGGATCTCTGGCAGAAAGGGGTGGGACCAGGGCAAGTGCTAAGGCATGGTCCACTGGAGGAGCCTCACTATTCCTCTCAGGCCATGCGGGGGGCTGGATGGTGGCACGGGCTGCCTGGAGCCTTGGGCAGCAGAGGTCAAATGCCCAACCTGGCCCTCGAGCACCTGCGGCACCAAGCCCAGCCCCACTTCCCCAAGAGGGTGCCCAGCTGCACTTACCTCCTCCTCAAGGCTGCTGCTGCTGTGCTTGCTCTCCTTACCCAGGTTGCTCATGATGGGTACAAGGGCAAAGTCAGAGGGAGGCCCATTCCCTCTACATGGGAGGAGACCCAGCTTTGTATTCAAAGCTTCCTTAGCAATAGGATGGGAGACTCCCAGGATAGGCCAGGAGGAGGGGGCAAGGGGATGGTGAAAGGGCAGCAGGGCAGGACTAAGGCAGGACTTCCCTCAGTCCCTCCCTCTCCTTTCCTTCTTTCCTTTCTTCCTTCCTAAGTACAGAGTGGTGGGAAAATATTTGAGATGAGGGAGGGAGAAAAACAGGCAAGAAACGCAGCTGGGGAGGTGTCACCCTTCGTGAGGAATGAAGAAATGCACCATCGCCTGGAAGTGGCCAGCACATGGCCCTCACCTACTTCACATATCTGGCTTGGTGGGCTCTGGGGGAGAGGATGCCATGAGCAGCGTGAGAGTCAACATTACCTGTGCAATGCTGCCCAGCCCCCAGCCTGCCTGCAGAAACCCCTCCCCCAGAGTCCCTCAAGCCGGATATGTGAAGTAGGCAAGGGCCATTTGCTGGCCACTTCCAGGTGATGGTGCATTTTTTCATTCCTCACAAAGAGTGATACCTCCCCAGCATGCACCCAGGGGGTGCGGCCAACGCAGCAGGGGCTGGTTCCTTGCTGTTTCCAGACGGCCTTGTGGAGCTAAGACTGAATGCGTTTCAGCATAGATGGCCACCACAAAATTGTACATTGGCTCCCGGCCGGCCTGGGCCAGGGCCACGGCAGCGGGGGCCGTTCCCTCACTGTTTCCAGGATGGCTTCGCGGGCCACATGAAACCACGGGGCGCATTTGGCCCCGGGCCTTGTGTTTGACATGTCTGATCTATGATAAGGCAACCAGAATGATTGGATAGAAAAGAAATATTATATTGGTGTGATCATTATTTTTAGGACTATTGGGAAAAATTATATATTTAATTATTATCTATCAAAACAGTAAGAATTGTATTTACTCAATATTTGCAAAAGAGGATTTTGGGAAAAGAGGAAATCAACAAAAACTATTATGTGGATTATGGATTATAGAAATCAATTGTTAGTGATTGTTTTAGAAATGTAACCCAGACAACACACTGTTCACCAATTATTAAGTGATTTATGTTTTTTTTTTAAATCAATAAAATATATTACAAAAAAAAAAATAAATGAAGGAAAGAAAGCCTGCTTCTTCATATCACTCCAGTAAAAATCTGTTCACTCAGCTGACTTTTTTGGATTTGTTTCTGTGAGCTTGTGATGGTTAAAATACTTTTCTTAAATGCAAACTTGTAATTTTGATTTGATGAGTGGCACCAAGATTGTGTATGTATGAGATTTTCTGCAGTTAGAGAAGACTAGGGTGAGAGATTTTTCCTCTGAGGGATCATCTTATGACGTTGCCAATCCTGTGGATGCTTCTTTCTACTAGTAGGAAGTTTGCTCTTCCTTTTCCTATTTCAGCTGCAAGGCAGACATAGTCATAAGGGGCATTTTCTTCTTTGTCTTTGGTCACTTGTATTATTTACAATAATGACAAAGAAACTGTTGTACCATGACTGCAATAATATGTAGTTGGCCACATCTTCAAATGTTTGAGCCTTTTTGGTTTACAAAAATCTCACATTGTTTTTGTAATGTATGAATGGTATATTCTGCATTACTACAGTTGGATGTACAGTATTACAGTCTAGAGCAAAATACCTATCCCCTCCACCAATTAAAAAGGATGGCAGTTCTAATATTTCCTAAGGACTTTCTTTCATCTGCAGATTTAAACAAGTCCCAGAAGAGATAGACTATTTCTTGCTAATAAATCACTGGGAATGTCTAGCCCCTGTCACTCCTGAAAACATTATGGTGTAGGATGTCCAGCTTGGCTCCATCTGTGAACAAGTAACAGCAGGAAGCTCTGCTCTTTTTTTGCATTTTGGAAGAACGCACAAAACCAGCTGCCAGTTGCTCTGGCACAAAAGAAGATATGCCATGGTTCTATCCATCTACTAGGAAGTTAAGAGTTGTGAATGAAGTTGTATTGAAGGATAGAATCAGGATGATCCACTTTATCCAATCAGATAAAATAGAAAAAATGTGAAATGTCTAACACAAGTACCTGTATTTGTTTTCCTTCCTCTTCCTTTCCCCTATTTTGCATGTTGGGGTTTTTTAAACTGGAAATTTGACTGTTGAAACCATTATCATAATTTGTAGAATGATTAGTAATTTTTAGACAACACATTAATGATAACAGTTATCTCATTCTGGTATACACATGGGGGAATAGAATTACAACATGGATGTGCTTATCTTTATAGCATCTTCAAACTGGAAACCTTTGGTTAACAAATTCTAAATAAGACAAGTTATAAGTTGGCTTCAAGTATTTGATTTTGGAGCTATAGTCATCGTTTTTAAGCTTCCCAAAGATTTCACTATCTAGATGCAATTGTTACCTTTGCTATATAAAAAGCATTTTTTGTTTCTTTATAGATTTGTTTTTCTAATTTTTATTTTTATTTTCTATTCTCAGTGGATGAATACATTGCTATTGCAAAAGAAAAACATGGGTACAACATGGAACAGGTAATAAACAGTTGGAAAATGTTTAAATGTGTTCTCTCCCCTTCTCCAGTTGGGGCAGGGGTGGGTTGTTGTTGTTTTTGACAACTTGGTTTATTATTTTCAGTAAATACAAAATATGATGTAAAAGAGAAGCAGAAGTAACTATAGAGACTTTCAGTATGTTGCTTTTGGCTTTAGGTGACTTTTATTAATCATGTTACCGTATTTTTAGTGTGTATGATATTTGCATATGTAGAACTTTATGTAGTCATTTTAATTCTGCCTATTCAAAATGTCAAGCTGGCCTCTTACACAAAAATCTTGACTAAAACATGTATGCAGAAACTAAATGAGCTCTTCCGGGAAGCTCAATAAAAGAGACAGCTAAAGACAGGGCAAAGACAGCGGAAGCCAAATGATGATTTTCCGTTTAAACACAGACTCCTTATATTTATTTCTGAATAATAAAAAAGAATATGCACTACCCAGATAAATGCAGAGAATTATTCCAAATAGAATGTTCATTTTAAGTTTCTTTAAAAAAAAGTCAAATTAGAATTTTTAATGGCTGCCTCTAGCCATTAAAAATGTAGCATGAAATAGACCTCCCGACTTATAAACAAAGCAAGTCACTTCCGAGGTTTGGGAATACTTTCTATAGAAAATTTCCAGAGGTTTCGTGGACAGACCTAGACAGCTATTTATGTTGTGAGGGAGAATGAATAATCTTCTGTCTCTTAAGCAGTTCATGCCCTAGGTTTTAAGAACAGCCTTCATATGTTTTGAAACCAAATGGGTTTCAGATGGAAGGAAAATCTATTGCATGCATCTCTGCCCCGGGACCATTGTGGTATTGGAAGGTGAAGGAAGAGTAAGCTGGCAGCCAGGTACAAGTGCGCCCAATTACAGGCCATCAATTTTGTGTTGCTCTAATGCCACACACTTTAAGTTATAGATAGTCCAACTCACCCATGACCTTACCTAAAGTGATGTACAGCTGTTGTCAAGCTCCTGTCCCTCTCTAATTTTCTTTTAATTAAAAAAATGAATTGCATTCAGCAAACTGCCAGCCTCAAAGTTATATTTGCAGTAATGCATTCACTTAGAGCTCAGAAGAATTTCATTGACTTCAGAGATTGCAAAGACACCTTCTGTATAGATGTTCTAGGATTGGTTCAACTCACCATATCTATCACTTTATGAGAGTGCTCACCATATGTTCTCAGCAGTCCAAATCAGGGGTCCTCAAACTTGGCCACTTTAAGACTTGTGGACTTCAACTCCCAGAATTCCCCAGCCAGCATGAGGAAGTCTTAAAGTGGCCACAAATCTTAAAGTGGCCAAGTTTGAGGACCCCTGGTCCAAATGAACCACTAACGCATAAAGGTTGGAAATTTTTAGGCAATACACTAATATAATAATACACTTGGAGGTGCTTCTCTTTAGCCTTTTTGTTTTCGTTGCCAGCTGTTATGTTTTCCTCACTCTGAGTCAGAGCTTATTTTTCATGTAGGAGTTCTAATGTGGGGTCAGTAAAGTACTGGGGGGGGGAGTAGACTAACAGAATACATGGTAAGGGAGGGTGAAAGATAATGGAAGGATCAGCAGGTCAGTAGATGGACCAATGTGATAGTGTTAGTGTTTATTTGTGGGCTGGGGGAACAGAACTGAAGAACATTTTCTCACATATTGACCTTAAACCCTATCAATATGTGGTTCCCAAATACTTTCCAGTAAAACAACACAGCTCTTGGCTATAAAATGTTTGCTTGCCCCTGTGTCCCTCCAGAAATAAAAGCAAC